CCAGGCCTCTATGGGGCTAGCCATCCCCATGCTTGAAGTTAATACAGTTAATAATGTAAAGGAGACGCTGGCGATTTTGTAAAGCCGGGGCTATCGATAGCAATTTTGCAATCTTCTCAGAGGTTTCTGAGAACTGATCACAGAAAAGAAGAGCAGCCACCTCATAATCACAGGAGCAATTGAAATGACTGACCACTGGAGATATGAGTTTAGATCGGCATTGCGTATATAGCAGGCATTTTAATAGCACAGGTGAAGCAGATTCAACCTCCGTATCTGAACACAGGCAAGGGTGGCAATTGTACAGAAGGTTAGTGTATCCGCCTATTGTCATCCTAATGGGTAGTGCCCCAGTTCGTGCTAGAGTAGAGTCTCCTGTGAGGAGCATGTAGGATATTAAGAAAATATCTAAGGATTGCCGGGGGGCGGGGGGGGGGGCAGCAGTTACACTGTAGAAGAAACAGGAAACCCTGGCTTTGTCGGTTTGAATATATGAGTTCCAATTCAGCCAGAGCTTGCTTGCTTCCTTCCATTTAAAACAAGATATAGTCCTAGAAGACATAAAATCAATAAGTGGACAAAGAAAATTTCTTAACTTATACAGTTCATGCTCAATATAACATTAATAAAAGATAACCATACCAGACAAAGTACGCTGAGTTGTTTTTGATATATGTATATATGTCTTTCAGCCAGAGTTTTAACCAGGCCAAGGGCAGAAAGTGCTGGTAAGGACAGGCCACAATATGCCAAGTCATTATTAATTTGCCTCCTTAGGGTAGAACTAAACCTGTCTATCAAGGTGAGATGGACAGGGACTTTCCCCAAATTACTTGCTTCAGCCAGTATATGAGTAAGCAGTGCCCTAATTGAGCCCCAAAGGGGACGTAGCCTAATTCTAACCATATGAAAGCATTAGAGGTTGAGTGAGGGATACCACGTTATAATTTTTAATTGCTGGTGAATTTAAAAGCCAGGCTGGGAAACAACATCAGGGTTCTTTTACAGCATTACAATGTTCATGCTCTTCCTCAATTTTGGAGATTCATGGAGGGGTTATAAGAAGCTTTTTAAGGAGAAAAAGCAAAAATATGCTTTAGAGAACAGAACTTGGAACCAACAGACTGTGATCAACAAAAACCATCACCTTTTTGGCACCTTGTTTCCCAAATCCATGCTAGAGTTAACTCTGATAATAACAACTTAATCTCTTTGAAGTCTTGGGCTCAATATTATCATGGTCTATTTACTGCATCCCAAGGCAGCAAACTCCATGTCCAGCTACTTGAGGAATTTCTCCCTGAATGGCCCCCAGTTTCATCTTCTGAGGTTCAGAAATTAATCTGTCAACTGACAAATAGTAAAGCCGTAATCAAAGATTTAGTTTTACCAGAATTCTTAAAACTACATTTTGTATGATGGCCTCCTATGTTAGCCCCCCCACCCACTCCATCGTCCAAGGCTATAAATAACTCCTGTACACCATATCCCTAATGATTGGCTTAATTCCAATTTTTTATTGGCTGGTCAATTCGGGGGCCAAAAAGCATCTCCTGCAATTGTTAAATTTGGAAGTTAATTTGGAATTAACTATGCCCCAGCAGCCAGTAAATGATTTAAAGCTAAAGTTTTTAAAACTGCAGGGACTAGTCCAGGCAGTCACCAGGAATCAACTCTGACTAGAAGGTACACACAAACACACAAATGTTTTTAAGCACATGCTTTGCTTCTTAAAAAACAGATCTGGTACTTTTTTGAGAGACTGCTATTGTTTGCTGCACAGAAGACTGATTCCAAGCTGGAAAGAGAGCCAGCTTCTGCCAGTTGTGTGTTGCTGGTTCTGTCATGACAGGTGTTCCCACTGATCCCACTGTCAAGGGCCTTTTGGTCATCACAATTTCCTGTTTTTATTCCTTGAGGGGGATGCATTTTGTCCACTCCATTCTGGCTTTGATTGAACTAGGTGCCATGGCGATGATGGTGGTTCTTACTCACTGACCAATCTTAATTGCATGTTCTTCATCCACTGGCTATTTCTGAGTGCTATTGGCAGTGGAACTTTGGCCATTCATTGCTGTCTCCTTCCAGCATTATTCAAGGATGGATCTCACTCATTATCAATCACTCTCGCCTGCTTCTCCCGTTACACCTGTTTTCTGTCTACTGGGCTGCTTTTACATTTCTATTTAGTGCTGCTTTAAAAAAGCACTGGCCTGCATTCAGAAATATCCTGAAAGCTCACAGGTGTGGAAGAGGGGTTGCACCATGCAGAAGCATCAGGAGAACTCCATCCCATTTCACCAGCACTCCATGCCTTTGACCTATCAGCTGAACTATTTTGAGCACAAGTTTGGTGGTCTTTCAGGCAAGTGTTAGACCCACGTTCAAAGACAGCCCAACTGACAGGTCATAAGTATGGGGCACCTCCATGCCTCTGACTTGCTGGTTGCACCACTGAAGAGCCTAAACACACCATTCTAGGTACCCATCTCCACCTGCCCAAGCTTGCCCCATCCCACGTTAGAATAGTTGGGGGTTGTTTTTCTGCTGACAGGTAATGCTTGGAGAGAGATGCTACAAAGCCGTGGAACTCTACCAATCACTTTCCTTAACTGAAATAAGTCAGGACAGCATGAATTGCCAGCCTCATTCCATGGAGAGCTGTTTTGCTCCGACCCTGAGAAAGAGGTGGGAGTGGGGAAATGATTGCTCAGTCTTGGGAAAGTTATAAGCATGAGAAAGAGACTGAGGCCAGCCCCACCTTGACCTTGTTGTCCTTAAAAAGGGGCATTGATGGTTTTGGACAGGCTTTCATGAGTCTATTCATAGACAACAGAAAGTAGCATTCCTCGAATCCCTGCGATGTCTGTTTCTTGATCTGGCCTACCTTGAAAGCTGACATTCAAGTGGTAGAATAGGGATTAGCAAGAATACTTTTCTGCCAGCTCAAGGAAAGGAGGATGGCACTTTAACAGTTTTGCCCTGTGGCAGGACAGGATCGTCAGGTGGCAATACATCTGATGCTAGTGGAGCTTTCTGCTGACCAAAGGACTAATGGGCAGCACAGCACTTTAACTGAGAAGAGCTCTTGGAGAACAAATAATCCCATTGGGAGGATGATTCTCAGTTTCAGGTTATATTTTCTAACTCGCATAAATCTTATCAATCTTCTTGCAGATGTGGCAATGGCTTGGGACAGATAATGGCTCTTTCCATAGATAAAAAGCAACTACTGCATCTTGATTGTAGATGTTATTTTTATTCTACTGCTGTATTCATAGCTGACAATTTTAACACAGTCCCTGTTGAGTACAAACCAGGAAGTAAGATTTTCCTTCTTTATTTTCATAATGCTTGGTAAGAAATGTAAACAGAGAAAAGCTGTTCAAGCTAACTGGAATTGAATCTCACCATTAGGCCATTACTCTTCTGTAAGTAAATCCTTCATCCATTATAATACAATAGTCAGCTTCTGAACTGTTTTCATTGATTAATCTTGCAATTACTTTTATATTAAGAATTAGTAATTCATTAGCAATATTTTAGTACTAGGACAGCTCATCAGAGAAAAGACTGTCATGCTTTTGTGATAGCAATAGCAGTCAATTTATTATTGATTTTCCAATCACACAAGCACATGCCTGCTAAGGGGAATCTTTCCTTCATGTGCTTCTCCTTCCATCTCCCCCATTCATCTGTCCTAAATGCAAACTGGAGACTCCCTAAATCTCTGCAGCAATTTAGAGAAGGAAGGATCTATTCCTCTGTAGGTTAGACTTTCAGTGAAATAAATTGCAAATCACTGCAATTGTTTTTGGAACCTGCATACAGGACAGGTGGTATAGGACAGTGTGGTACAGTAGTGCAGACTGTTTGCCCATCTTGTCCAGTACTGCCTACTGGCAACAGCTCTGCAGAGTTAGAAACAGAGGGGTTTTCCCCAAACCCTTGCTCTGTAATCCTTGTAATTGAATTAATAGGAACTGAACTCAAGACCTGCAGGCAATTGTAACTAAACACCACTCCCCCATCTGAAACATAGCCATTTGTGTATACCGTATATATATTTACTGGATACTTTAGCATAGGTTGTTGTAGCACAACATGTAGATTAGTATAGGCCATATGCATTTTTGGTCAAGCATAGATAAGTACAATAAAATTTTGGAACCTCCAAAACAGTGACCCTCAGCTCACGGATGAGCGAGTAAATAAACGCTGCCATACATCACATAATAGGCTTTCTTTCTGAATAAAGGTTTATACTACCTGACTGCAGTCTGTGTATCCTAACTTGGCTCATTGAGTGTCTTGGCACTTCCAAGTAGAGACACATAGGTTACAGCAGCACCATTATTTTCATTTTATTTTTTTAATCTAAGCAAATAGTATGAAAGAGGCCACCTGAGCGACCTCGCTTGCTAAAATGCAGTGGTCATAGACATGCAAGCTAAGCCATGACTCAGCAGCCTCATTCCAATTCCAATTAAAAAAAAACAAACTCAAACCCTCGACTTTTGCACTTTATGTTAATGAGCATGTGTTCCTTCTTTCTAGCTGAACTTTTAGTTCATTTCATTTCCCCCCCTCCAGCCTGAGCCACAGGCATGCATGTAGGAAACTGTTCAGAGAGTGAGCAGACATTAGAACCGAGAGAGGGATCCTTGGAGATGGAAGATAAGAGAGCCGTGAATGTGACCTCAGCGCGGTGGGTGATCAAAGTCACTTACCTCCTGACGGCTGTGGATCAGACCTGCATGCTCGTGCAGTTTGGGATTGTTCCAGTGAGTACAAAGTGAATGCTTCCTGCCTGTTCAAGGGGGGATTCAGTTATTGTTTGAAACCATGGCATGCTTCTTCGTAGTACTAGGTGGAAATCCGTTTAACCGTGTCACCTCAAGTAAATGAGGTTTTCTGAACTAATATTTGTTCTGTAAAAGTCGTTCTCATTGCGTTATTAACCCATACGGATGGGCTTAAGGGCTGTGTAACTTGCTCTGCCTTGGTCCTTAAGTCTTGTTTTCATATCATCTCCCAGCCCAAGGAGTGAATTTAATACAAATACAACTAGTTAATTGTTGTTTTTGTATTGCTCCTTGCTTTTAAATGTTTTTGACAAATTGCCCAGAATGGCTGGGAGTCAGGTGGCACATAAATTCAATATATTATTATGGTTGGTCACACAGTCAGCCAGGTGTTTAGACTGGATTTGGCATTTTTGTCCACCTATCGAGTCCTTCCCAAGGACCTGGGAGA